CAGTACTTAGCACATAAATTCTCAACATGAGCTAAAATTAGCTGGGTGTGGTGGCGCACACCTGTGCTTCCAGCTACTCAGGAGGCTGAGGTGGGAGGATCGTTTGAGCCCCAGAGATACAGGCTGCAATGAGCTGAGATTGCACCACTGCACTCCAGCCTGGGAGACAGAGTGAGACTGTGTCTCCAAAAAAGAAAAAACACCTCAATATAAGCTAAAATTACAATAAAAATATTTTCCCTAGACAAATTATTCATAAAGAGGTGCTTAAATTGCTTTTATAGTATATCATTTAAAAATTATTATCTTTACCTGTTTTTTATTATTTTTACACTGTGGTAACTAATTCTAAAAAATGGTAGACATTATAAGAAGTTTATATATATTAGTTAAGTAAATGCAAATACTATGTGGCATATGAACTTCAGTTAAATGAGATTGAACAAAAAGTAAACGTACAGGTATTGACCGTACGGTAATGACATTGTATAGCAGATACCTTTCTCATTTAAGATATTTTCAGAGGCTTTTGGAACCTGTCCCTTAGTTAATATGATAAACACTTTGATAGCCTGGGTGGAGACTAGCCTGGGTAAGATGATGAAACCCTTTTCTAGAAATGGGCATGGTGGCACACACTTATAGTCCCAGTGGAGGCTGAGGTGGGAGGATCACTCGAACTCCAGAGGTGGAGGTTGTAGTGAACCCAGATCACAATACTGCACTCCAGTCTGGGCAACTATCTTAAAAAAAAAAGAGAGAGAGAGAGAGAGAAAAGAATTAAGAAATACGAGTAAGTGTTTATCTATGGACTTTCAATATGATTTGTATCTTTTGGTGATGCATGTCTGACCAGGTGGTTTTTCATTTTAGAGTAAAAAAGAAAAAAGTCCTTACAAGAAAGATTAATGAGTTTTGGTGCAAAAGTAGCTTTTTGAAAGAAAGGGGCTCTTTAAATCTGAAATGTAATAGTATTATAATGTCATTTCCTTAGGATACACATTTTCTTCTGTCAGTGCCCTTATATTGGCCAGTATTATCTGAGCACTTCTACCCCAATTCCTCTCAGACTTTGTCTCCTACTATTTGTTTCCACTCACTGGCACCAGTCTCACTGCCCTCTTTGCTGCACTTTACCTTAGAAGCTTTGTACTAGCTTCCCTTTACCTGTAGTCTTCTTCCCTGATAAACCTGCAGGGCTGAATTCCTTACCTCCTTAAGCATTGACTCACACCTCACCTTTGCAATGCAACTACCTATTTAAAATTACTATACCTCTTCATCTCCCTTCTTTTTATTTGCCGCAAAACACTTGTCACCTTCTAACTTACTTCTTAGGGTCTTCCCAAATACATGATAGGAATTTCCGGCATTTACTTCCTGACAAATGAACCAATGGTAGTGTATAGACTATTTGGTTCTAAGGCAGAAGTTGACTTCTGTTTGTTGAACAGGAACATCCTCCACCAAAAGTACATTTGCCCCTGTAATTATCCAATTTTCAGTCTCTTTGCCACTTTCCAAAGAAAGCACATTGACAAAGAGGAAAACGTATATGTTGAGGAAATACTACTACTCTATTTTGAATTTAAAAGGATTCTTCCTTCCAGAAAGCTAATTTTGTATTAAAGCATATAAACTCATTAATCTTGTCTTTATCTCTGTTTGATCTGAATAACCCAGTTTATTAAATGGTGAAGACCAGGTCAGGACAGAAAAGGTGAGATGGCTTACACAGAATCATACATGTCGTTGGTAGAGCTGCTAAGAAAAACATCCAGATGTTCTCTTTGTTCAATACATCATTCTATATGGAGCTCTGTTGGAGGTTATCTCTCATCATTGTAAATCATCACATCATCTCAGGTCATATCCAATGGCAAAGGAAATGAAGAGATAAATTTAAAACTTAACCAGGCTTTTTATAACTCTTTTTGCTTTTCAATCTGAAGATGAAAAATATTATTTTTAGAGATGAGAAAGTGAATGAGGCAGTTTCAGGCCTTTATCTACTGAAACAATATTGTATCTCTCTTGTCTCAGGAGCATATTTTAAAATGGCTGCAATTAAATATTGTAACTATGAAAAGAACATTAATTTTACAGCAGGTGAAAATAATGCAATAGTATGTAGCATGAGTGGGGGTGGAGAATACAGCTGTCTAATTTTGGTCTACTGGAACTAGTGTAGATTTTCCCTCAAACAGAGCAGAAATGTAGCTCTTAGAGCATAGTAGCAGCTTTCTTTTCTTCTTACAGATTTAAAGTTAAAGGCACAAGTTTAATATGCAGTCCTTCCTGTGACTAACAGGTTGCTCATTCTGCTTTTGCTAATGCTGCTACCTTGCTTCTAAGTGGACATTGGTACTTGGGGTATTTATTTTTCTGTATCCTTTGAAGTAGTTATGAATCTTCTGAGAACTAAAGAACTGGGATACTCCAAAGGCCTATTTATACTAGCAGATGAGTTGTATTATTGTGGGGATTGAGAGAGTGACAAAGCGTAAACTTCTTTCATTGGTTGATTTAGCTTACCTTATTTCCTTTCTTTCCCCTCTTTAGTGGAAATTGTTCGGATTTCAAGAATGATTTAATATCTTCTTTCTGGACCTAGTAATACATTCTATAAGCCACATCAGTGTTGTATTTTTTTTCCCATGATACAGAAAGAGAATGTAAAAAGATAAACATAACAATATAATATTTATTAGATTTTGAAATGTGGTCACTCATTTTAGTCAATATAATATCAAATAGTTAAAAGCATTGAAACATATTCATTTAATGAGTTTATATGCCTGAAAACTAAAATTGGCTGTTTGGAAGAAAGTGAGGAAATGAATTTCGGTTTTTTTCCTTAGCCAGAACATTGCAAATTAAGGAAATGGTTTACTAGATAATTTTATTCTGGCTAATGAAACTTATTTTTCTTCCAATTTGGTTTCTCTGTCAATTATTCAGAAATTAAAACATGCTATATTATAATATTAAATCTCCAGTATCTTCTAATTTGATATGAGGTTACCTTTATAGGTAATTATCAGAGGAAAGATGAGATTTTTTTCTGTCTTCACCAGACCCATTCTCTGCCTGCCTTGGCCCTAGCCACATCACCTAACTTGTATAATTACTCTCTAAAGTCATATTCCAGAAGTCTGAAAGTCTTGTTGTTCAATATGCTCATACAAGCTGAGTTACTTAAATTCAGTGCTTTGTGCCATTTCCAGGAATCTGAGCTAATTATGCTGCCATTTTTCAGAGATGTGCATTAGAAGTCATGTGTCCTAATTCTGAAAACGGCTTTGTACATTTAGGTTCATTTAACTAGAGAGAAGTTAAGGGACTTACAGTTATTGGTCATAATTTTAAAATATAGTAGTAGTGTGGAACTCTCATATACTGCAAGCATATAAGATGCTATGTTGTCAGCCTCTCAGTCTCTAGGAATGTTCCAATTTGGCTTATGCCTTACCAGTCAAGATATCACAGAGAAGGTATGTTTAGTCATGGAAAAGAAAATCAGCGTCCAGCATGCAAAGATAGTAAAAGAGTAAGCACTTTCAATTGGATTTTCATAGGAGGAATTGATTTGTGTGTATTACTGGGTCTGTGTAAAATGGTGTCCTTTTGGCACTAGCTGAATATACATTTCAGTAAATGTTTTTTCTTGCTGCAGATTAGTGTAATACAGTGAAATTTTCTGTAACTGAGGGAAGGCAGTGGTTGGGCGTCTGTTAATAGCCTGAAAGTAACTAATGAGGATGTGCAGTCAGAACGATTGATTGAATAGCTGCAGTCCTGTGTGTTTCTTTCTTGCTTGCTCTCTCTGCAAGCTGTAGAGAGGGAGGGGGAAGAGCAAGACACAGAGAGGGAGCGAGAGAAAAAACGCTGTCTCTTAAGTGGAAGTAGCACGGATCCCAGGGGCCAGGAGGCCAGAAATGGAAGTTTAAACTGCATCTATCTTTTAAAGGGAGAACAGCAGGAATCAAAATGTCAGTCTCCGGAGTTACGATTTACTCCTTATTTTCTAAGATCTGGAAGATAACACAGAATACTTTTTTTAGGATGTGGCTTTTTTTTCCTTGTCCATGTTGAGATTATCTAATGTTATCTGAGAAGCTGGATTCCTTTATGTCTGTCAGTTGAAGTGGCGATGGGAAGCAGTTGTGATAAAGGTATAATACGTATATATCTATCATCTGTGTGTGCGTGTGTATGCATATATATATATATATATATATACACACAAGTGTATATATATATATATATATCTATATATCACTCTATGAAAAAAATCTTTAAAATGTAGCCTTAATACAGTATATAGTAATTAAATGGGAGAAGATCACATTATCTGCAAAATCCTAAGCTTGTTAGGTCAGTTTGAACAGATTTAGGATTCCAGAGTAAGATCTTAGTAAGGTCATATTGTCAGAACAAGGAGAAACTGATCTATTTTTATATCTCCATAGGCATATATGTTATTTTATCTTGGCAGCAGCTTTTAGTCTTCTCATGCCCCTTTTGTTGCAGTCTGGTGCATCAGCTTCTCTGCACAGAACTAACTTTCACCTTTGTGCAAACACCGTCGAATCATGTGCAACATTAGACTATATTTTGTTCACAAGAACATTAGAAATTCTGTTTTATTCTATTAACTCCTACATTGCTGACACATAGGGAAGTAGATTTATATACCGTGAGATGCAACTATTAAGTGAACTTAAAGATATTAAACATAGCTCAGAGGAAATTATTTTTATATGTACACAGATGAAGATATAAGCTGTCACACTAAAGCAGATTGTTAACTGTGCTCAAATCTCTCTAGTTTCTTGATAGTTTAAGCACCTCAAAGATAGATAAATTATGTGAGATAGAAAGCAATGTACCTTTAAAGCATGCTGATTTATTGTGAAAAACCAATAAGTTTACAGTTTAGTGGAAGATCCTAAATTTGGGGTTCTTAATGATGTTTCAGCCTTCCTCCTTTTTTCCAGAGGTACCAGCAGAAAGGTCCCCTCGTAGACGGAGTATCTCAGGGACCAGTACATCAGAGAAACCCAACTCCATGGACACTGCAAATACCTCACCCTTCAAAGTACCAGTAAGTGTTTATTTTCTCAATAATAATATTTTACTTTTCTCCTTTCTTCTTAGAGTTAGAGACAGCTACTAAGGAATCCAAACATTTTTCTCTTCAAGAATTTGTTTATAATTCTGTGATTAAAGGATAGACTCATCAACTTGTATAAATTAACTGTGGTTAATGTCCACTACTTCCTTTTTTTTTTTGAGACTGAGTCTCACTCTGACTCAGAGTCAGAGTTTGTCATCCACACTGGAGTGCAGTGGCGAGATATCACTCACTACAACCACCACCTCCTGGGTTCAAGTGATTCTTTTGCCTCAGTCTCCAGAGTAGCTGGGATTACAGGAGCATGCCACCATGCCCAGCTAATTTTTGTATTTTTAGTAGAGGTGGGGTTTTACCATGTTGGCCAGGCTGGTCTTGAACTCCTAACCTCAAGTGATCCACCTGTCTCAGCCTCCCAAAGTGTTGGGACTACAGGCATGAGCCACCACACCCGGCCATCCACTATTTTCAGTATAATATTTATTAGGTTTTAGGGAATATTATTTTTACCCACAGGGTACTTATAAAATACATAACTATATTAAGTTCAAATTCCTCTCAACTGTAGAGTTCAAATCCTTGTAGATATCTTTTTATCAAGTTGCTAGCTAAAACCTATCACAGTTCTATAACGAAGCTGGTGGAAGATTTAATTAAGGAATGGGATATAATTTTTTTTTCAGAGCTGGAGCATAAGCAGAAAGTGATGAGTCTCATAAAGTTGCAGACTAAATTCACAGAGAATTAGACAATTGTGAATTCCAGTCCTAAGACCTGGTCCGCACTTTGCTTAAGCCATCTTTTGGATGATCTTGGAAGTGTTTAAGAAATACCTTGAAAGAAAGTAACTCCTTAAATTGGCCAGGCAGTATTGAGAATCAGCATTAAATACAAAAGAGGCTGAGCCCAGTGATTCACACCTATTATCCTAGCATTTTGGGAGGCTGAGGTGGGAGGATTGCTTGAGGCCAGGAGTTCAAGACCAGCCTGCACAACATAGTGAGACCTTACCTCCATAAAAAATGAAAAGAAAATTAGTTGGGCATGGTAGTGTGTGTCTGTGGTCCCAGAGGAGGCCAGGGTGAGAGGATTGCTTGTGCCTAAGAGGTCAAGGCTGTAGTCAGCCATAATTGTGTCACTGCACTGAAGCCTGGACAACAGAACAAGACCCCATCTCTTAAAAAAAAAAAGTACTGAGATGGAAGGGCCATATGTGATCAGGTCAGCTGACTATCGGTTACAGACCTATTTTGGTCTTTTTTGATATAGCTGTAAGTAACCAAGATTTTAAATCATTTATTTTCTTCGATAAGAAATATGTTTATTTCCTAATCATATTATTTTATTAGAATTAATTATTTTATACTTGAATTGCTTCATGAGATTGGTCATTATTCTAGGTACAATGAAAATCAGTATAAGGTAGAAATAGACTTTTCTGTGTGGAAAAAAGATTTAATTCAGCCAAGTTAATATGGTGTAGTCTGTCTTTCTTATTCTAATACTTTTTTTAAAGTTGGGGTGACCTTTTAAGTAAAATTGATTTTTTGACATATATGAACTGGCATTCATTCATAAGATGACCAAAATGAGTGTTTTATTTTGTGTTAACCCTGAGGAGCAAGATTTTCCCTTGTTGTATATCTGAGGACGTTGAAGAGTTTATGAATAGCTGTTACTGTGACACTCAAATTTTTACAAATGTTCTCATTTTCAAAGATCACAAGCAAGTATTGGATTATTATTCTAAGCAAATTATGACAGGAATTTTAAAATATCAGATTTAGTGTCTTTTACTAAATTTTTTTGTTCCATAGACATAGCTACCTATTTTTTATTTTATTTTTCTCATGAATGAAAAAAAGCATTATTTCTCACCTTCTCTTCTTGTTTTTCTGATAATGTGGAAAGAATAGAGTAAAACTGACTGTCAATATGCAAAGTTTAGTGAAAAGGATTGAGTTAGAATTTGAAGTTTTCACACTATCATGCTAGAACGGAATGGTGACTCTTAAATTTTTTTTGAAAAAGTTGGTAAGTGAAGATGAATATCCCTCTGCAGTATGGTAACATCAAAGCATATTCTATATTGAGTCTGAAGTTGATAGCCAGGCTTTGAAAATCTGAATTACTTAAGAACTATGATGTTTATTTAAGTTGATGACTAATATAAGATGTATCTTAATAAGACTAATAATTCTTCAGTGAAAATTATAATGATTAATATAAATGAAAACTGGTATTACTTACGAAGCACATACTTAGTTGTTATTCTTCTGACAATCTCGCCATGTTATAGATTTAGAAATAATGAGGGAAGAAAAGGGCCTCAATGACAGCAAATGACAGTCACAAAGACCATGCACCCATGCACTTAGCTGTCTAGAAGTTAACCGTTCACAGCCCTCATCTAAAGAGTTTCCTAAAAAAAAAAAAAGAGTTTCCTGAAAAATAACCAGCCGCACACACTGATTACAACAACAACAAAGAACTGTCAGTAAGTAAAAGGATGAGGCAGAGAAAATGAAGAGCAGAGAATCATAAAAACAATCCGAATTCACTTAGGATAAAGGCAAACAGCGTTGTATTTATTACTAGACCTTAAAGATATCATTGTATTCCAGGGTGATCTATAGTGCAGAAATTGACGTTGATAATAATGATTATGAATCATCAGGAAAAAGTGAGATTATATTTATTTTGCTATTTTTAAAAAAGTGGAACTGTTATATTATGTGACATGTAGCCATTGAAAATATTTAAAATGTTGAAGATATGTGATGTTTATAAAACTTGTTATCCAGTAAAGTGGTTTGTGAAGTACCTCATTCCTTGATCATGCTAGATAAATAATTTATATATTTGTTAAGAAAAACCAGAATATGCTGGCTCAATGAGGCACTGCAGTACTTGGATATCTATAGAAATACATTGTATTTTTAAAATTTTCATGTAATACCAATAGTGGTGTGATTTACATCACTTAAATATATTGCTGATTAGAAGAATGTCTAATTTTCAGGTCAACAATACTTTTATAATTAATATCACAATGGACTCTTCGAATTTGGGAAAGCAGCACAAAAAGGAGTCAGACATTGAGATATTTAAGTTGTTTATACAATATTTCAGAAATCATTTCTATGTTAACTTTATGAAGAGACAGAACCAGTATTTTACCACAAGTACCAGTGGTTCCAGGATTCAGATTTCATTACTATGGTGAGCAGTAGGTTTACCAGTCATCAATTGGATCCCAAAATTATAGTAGTGGCCTCTCAAAAAGGACCTTATTCTTTTGAGCTGCATTTTCAGACTTGCTGAGAGCAAATAAAATAGATTTTAGCAAGTCCTGACTGAAATTATTTATAATGACACACTTATTGAATGCTTACTTTGGGCAAAGTATTGGTGATTCACTAATTTATACCTTCTTGGCATACTGTGCTTGGTACAACAGAATTTTTCATTCTGAAGCCCTGTATATGGCCTAGTAGCAGGAGATATAAAAATGACCAGATTTATAAAGAGGTAGATGAGCATGGTAACACAAGTTATTAACAACACAATGTTTAAGTTAAGGCTTTGACAAGGAGCAATATTTGAGCAATTTCAAAGGCTGAAAGAAAATAATTGACAGGGGAAGAAAGTGCTCCAGTTTGCGGGAATGGCATTTTGGAAAGACATACAGTCATGGGATGACTGATGCTTCCAGGGATTATAGGAAGAACTCAGTGAGACAAGAACCAAAAAGTATGTGGGCAAAAATGGCAGGTAAGAAGACCGCAAAGGTAGGTGGGGGAAGACTATGATTGAGTTTGTTCATCAAACTTAACTAAATTATACTTGCTGTTGAAGCATACAAGATGTGTTTATTGGAATATTTGTCTTTGGCTCTAAAGCTAAACAAAGTGGCATGAATACTTTGAAATACGGGTAAATTACTTGACTCTTCTCTTAAGTGAGTCTTTTTTCTTCTTGCTATTCCAACTCAGGGTGATAGGTAAGGAGCTATCATTCAATAGAAGGCCAGCCCAGCACTCACCCCTGGCCTTTCAGTGGACACTACTGATTTTTCTAGAATAATATTTAGCCTTAAGGATATCAAGGAGAAGCCAGTGGGTAAGGATCACTCATATCCTGCTGGTTGATGCCAAGTAAGGCAGAAAGAAGAATAACCCTAACAGTGAGCACAAAGCATTGAACCCCAAAAAACTTTTCAATGTCTTCCTTATTCACAAAAATTTATACTTTTAAAAACTTAAAATAATGGCTGGGCATGGTGGTTTATGCCTGTAATCCTAGCACTTTGGGAGGCCAAGGGGGGTGGATTACGAGGTCAGGAGTTTGAGACCAGCCTTACCAACATGATGGAACCCTGTCTCTACTAAAACTACAGAAAATTAGCTGGGCATGGTGGTGCGCGCCTGTAATTCCAGTTGCTAGGGAGGCTGAGGCAGGAGAATCGCTTGAACCCGGGAGGCAGAGGTTGCAGTAAGCTGAGATCATGCCATTGCACTCCAGTCTGGGCGACAGAGAGACTCCATCTCAAAAACAACAAAACAAAACTTAAAATAGGCAACTAGTACAGAAGGGTATTTATCTATAATAACATTCAAAACAAGGGATGAAGAGGAAAATTATATGGCTACTGAACCTGTAGGTTAAGACAATGCCTTGGTTTTTAGCAATGTTTAAATGTATTTGTACTCTTATCTAATCGTAGCCATAAGAAAAAGTAGTGATCTACAGCAGTGGTCCCCAACCTTTTTGGCACCAGGAAACAGTTTTGTGGGAGACAATTTTTCCACGGACCAGGATTGGGTCAGGGGGATGGTTTCAGGATGATTCAATGCATTACATTTATAGTGCACTTTACTTCTATTATTATTAGATTGTAATATATAATAAGATCATTATACAACTCATCATAACATAGAATCAGTGGGAGCCCTAAGTTTGTTTTTCTG